CTGAACTGAATGGCACTAATGAATTACACGTGTCCATCGTTACGACATTACAATTAATACATATCAGATATATTGCCAGGGTTTTCTGCCAGTGACCAGAATAAGTTGCACCCATCGTTCTGGCGCAACGATTCCTTTTAAAACTGCAGAACCCTCCTTGGACTAACTCTGCTAACGAACTTCTGCAGGATTAAAGCCATTTCTTTAACGGAAACTATATAAGCCGACATTCCATCAGGATAAATTTATTTTAATGTATCTCATTAAAAACGTTTCTGTTACTTCTCATTATTAGCTGGATTACGCGATCTTTGTACCGCACATGATCGCAGACGATCTAGCCAAACAGTGAGCAAACTGCGGCTCCTAAAGCTACTCTGTGCTGTCCCAACACTATACCTGTTGGGTTTCGTTGTCATTTTTCCGAAACTTTTACATTAATAATCTATAATAGTACATTTTTTGGTACATTCAAAAATGTACGAAAAGTATTGTATGTGGCTTTTATTACCGAAGAACTTGCCTACCCCTGATTTCACCCATTCTAGATGTATGTACAAGCCTGCATTTACCCTGTTAAATGTTACTAAACGGATTACAAATAGTAACTCGATAAAATCGACGGATACAGTAGGTACTGTACTCTACGCAACATTTCTTTCGTGTCGTATATGTATATACATAATATGTAGCTATAAACCCTGAATTGCCTGGAAACACGATCCTCCCGTAATCGTCCACAGTAACATACTCATTCAGATCATCAAGAACGTTGGTGAACTGGTCATTCATGACCACCCGACAGACAAACACGTTAATCCCGATCCATCGACGTGCTCGCAGGAAGATGGATATCCAAACGTGTGTAGTCTACCGTCTAGCTGCTCCAAAATGCGTCACACTGGCCGAGAGAACAATAGAGAGCCATGACGCATTTCAGACACGACGGCGGATGAATACGTACGTCATGGTTCACCATGCGTCCACGATACGCACAGCGTTCCGCCTTTGTATAATATTATTCTTTCTTCTTTTCTTTGCTTTTTATTTTAATACAGAAACGATAGTACAAGGGGAAATATAAACTTCACGTAGAGAGACATGAAAACGAATACCTACATATACAGAGGCTACGATCTGAAAGATGTAAGGAGAACGGAACGAAAGATGGAGGCGTGAAAACAGCAGATCGATTCTCTCCTATTCAACCGTGTTCTATTTTTCCACGGTAGTTACGCGTGAACGATCACGGACTCTTCAGATTTCGAGCCTCGTTTTTTTTTCAGAGTCCCGGGGCACGGAATTAAACTCCTTGCTCGGAAATACAGCTCCCTAGGCGAGGCGGCACGTAACAAGAAAACTCGAAGAAATGATCGAAGAAAGTAATTACTGTAATAGAAAGGAATATTCGAGAAAGAAGAAATTTGGGGGGGGGGGTGTTCTTCCGAGTCCTGGTGGAGTTTCCTCGACAGGAGTTGAACGTGACCGGGAGATTTCGAAGAATATATTTTCGAATCGAATGAAACTCGTTGAACGAAACAACTCACACAAAGAACACGATTAATTCGCGGTCCAGCTTCGAGTATTGTTACTTTAAATTCGTGTGGGATATTGCGTCAGACGACGGCCAATTGGAATACAAGCGGGCAAAAACAGATTGCACAAGGGACAATTGCAACATTCCGTGGTTTTGCAACGTGTTTAGTGTTTTGCATCCACATTCGCGGTGATACGATGGCTCGTTACGTTTATTTCTGTCCTCGTTATCAAGGATGGGGGAGGGGGGGGGAGCGGGGGATCTTCCGATGCTAACAATAAGTGAAAAGTGAGATAGGATGGAATATACATTACCAGTAGGTGCAATATACATTCACCAGTGTGAATCGAACGCGTGCTATAGCTTTATCGCATGTGCGATCATTAATCATTACCGCGCATTTCTACAAGGCGTTCCAGGAAAGAAGAAATTTTGACATATGCTTCCTAGACCTCTTAACTCTTTCATTCCCAATTGTTGCCATATGGCTATGTATTCTAAATTATGAAATACAGTATTAGTATCATGTATTCTTTCATATCTCTCTAATTTTGTGTAGATGGTATGGCACAGATTTCAAAGTGCATTTAAAAGTTATGTCAGTAAAATAAAACATTCTTTGGCCTCTGTTTCCTTCATTTGATGAAATTCAGGTGTTCAGCATTATTGCAAATCCAATAGTAACTTACAAAACTCTAATTTCTTTTAAAAGGTAAGAAAAATTGGATTTTATTGTGTACAATAACATTGTTGTATAGCTATGATGAAAGTAAAAAAGTTGCCTAATTGGCAACAAATGAGAAACGGCATTAGATGTTTTCAAAATATTAAAATGTTCTTGTGAATCATTTAGACTTCATGTAACATACACAAAAAACAAGAAAATATTTCTTTGATAATATTTTAATAATAATTTGGAAATGAAAGGGTTATTAAAACCACGATCCATCTTTCAGAATACACTGATTCAGACTATCGAAATTGTATGGTTACTTACATAAATACAAACTATTAATACGATAAATATTGGGTTATATAAAGATTTTCGAGAAATCTTCTATGTTTGTGTCAAACTTACTTTGAAACACCCTGTGTAAAGGCTACCTCAGAGGGGTGCAGATCGTTGCGGCGACGCGCGCGCGTTATTGTCACGCGAAGGAGCAAGAGGCAGACTTAAAAAAGAGATACAAATTCCACCGAAACTATTCGGAGCCACCTTAAGTGACTCTCAACCTTCAAAGTTCTCCAACTTTTTTCTCTCCAATTATTCAATCGGAAGACACGTCGTTCCTCTGAGTGAAACACGCGACCATCTTATCACTTGGTTCTCTTATTCCATACAGTTTGGCACCTGTGTGTGACACGGGGTCTTTTCTAATATCATTTCACCGATCCAGGAATCTGTTTTTAAGGTTTGCCTTGTTACGTAGGCTGCATCAGATGGTAGGTAGTAGATATTCATCGTACATGTTATGCAATTGTTTTTACGTCTTATTTAAATGAAAAAAGAAAAAAATTACCTGTGACCTAATTCGCGTTTATCGGTTATTGTACCATAGCCGTAGCAGCTGCTGCCCTCGTTGTAGTTATCCAGATCCTGCTCGCTACGATCGTTCCTTGTCAATCTTATCCTGGGATTTAAATCGAAGCCAAGCAACGACGATTCAAGGGTCCCGCCATGGAAGATGCTTGACTCATCCGTAAAACGAACTTTGCACCCTGTTCCAGAACATTGGAACATGCTGGTTACTCAACGGCAAAACTTTATCGAGGACGACGATGTCCGAACGGACCGGAGGAGAAAATTTCTTCCTCTGGGGAACACGATACATGTATGCAGAAATTCTCGTTTGATGAAATTAGGAAACGAAATCGAACAGCAAAGGGGAACACTCGACGTGAAATTGAAGTCGAGATTTCTTTGTTGCCTGTATATCGATAACATCAGATATACATACATATCAGGAGTATCTCTACGAGTGATCAACGTTTTACCGGTTCTGATTCCGCTTTTAAAATTCCGCATGGCGTTATCGTCGTTGGATACTGTGTTTTGTCTAGAGCGGAGTACGTTGCACTAGATCCCGGTAAATGGGGTATAAAAACAAAGAAGAATTACCAGTCCTAGTAGGCGTTACAAACATGTCCATGCTTCTCGATGGTTTGTTTTAGAAGGCACAACTGGCGGGCTCAGAGACAGATCACGATCTGAGGATACTTTGCTGGTGAAGGAGAGAGTGACCCGGCATGAACGGCAACGGCGTACTAAATGATCGACATCGAATGAACATTTTCGGTCGCGAGCGAACGGCTGACACGAAAATACTTGGCCAGAATAGCAACAACGATAAGAAGGCTGCAGGGGTCATTCGCGTGACGATAAATAGGATAGAGGGAAACATACACAGAGAGAGACACGTGACAGTGTCGAGTGATACTGAATAATGGACAACAGTGACATGGACCATTAATGAGGAACGCAGAAGAAATGAGATATTGTTCGCGGAATTGATCAAAACCAGACGTTTTGACTATCACGCAGGCTATATTTACGAAATGGTAACGCAAAAAGGATTCTTCCGTCAGCGATATCCACTGCGTAAAGAGGCTCCTCAGCTGGTAGCTAAACTGGAGCTTACAATTATTGTGGTTTGGACATCACTGCGCCAGTTATTGCCTAGTCACATATTTAAATGTAACAACATGTATTGTAGTGAGATAGCGCCTAGCTAATATCTAGCACCTAACCTGGAATCACAAAAGAAGCTTCTGTTTTTTGTCCCACTGTGTTTGCTACCTTCGCTATATTGTTACCTTCAGAATATACAATCTATCAGCCAAGTACGACTACTGACTAATGATTGTTGTCGAAACGTTCCGATAAGTCGTATCGTCGTGCGTTATAATGAAATACATACATATAGAGGAATTTCAAATGCGATCCCCGCGGCGAATCGATAAACCGTGGGCGTAATCCCTCTTCTGGCGGGGTAACATCGCGGGGCGGGGGTGAATTTTGAAGCCGATTGCGCGCGCGAACCTACACATTTATGGACCGTCGGTGGTAATATTACTATTAAGTTGAACGAGTTATTTTCGCGCGGTATGATCGGAGCCGCATTTGACACCGCGTAGGAAGCACATTGGCGGCCTTGACGACCTTTATGAATATTACGCGGATTCTACGTCGCTTACCCAAAGTTGCGTGTTTCATCAATGAGTATCCGTACAATAACATTATCGACCGTATCATCGTGTATTTCGGAATTAACTGACGAATCAATCGTCGAAGGCTTTCAATTGTTTGTTAACCTTCGCTACTCACTTTGCTGAGAGGATCGTATGAGATGGTCGTTTAGCAAAAAGTCCGATGGTAGCCTTACCTTACCGAAATTCATGGAAATCTCTTGTAATCGTGTAATAAGTGTTTTCAGATAATTGTTTTAAAAAAATTGCTACTTACCTTTGACTAGCTTGTCGGTAATATTTTTTATTCCCGCTGGGGTCGTTCTCGTGTTGAGGCGTGTTGGGTCCTGTATTTTCATGATCGCCGTGTGAATTATTGCAATTCTCCAAGTCCATAATTGACTGCCGACATGAAAAAGAAACAGTCGTTAATCTATCTACTAATTACCAAACAATTATCACAGTCTGTGTTTTTTTACCAGAAATTTCGAATATCGTAAAGAAATTGTACCAAAATTGACACCAATTTTTCAACAGTTTCTCGGTCCCTTTTCATTCGCGAATTTTAATTTGACTTTCAAATACCGGAACAAATAATACAAAATTGAAGTTCCTATGATTGTACACTGTGATAGTAATAATATCTAGAATCCAGTAAACGCGTCATAACATTATCATCGGAAACTGACGGGCCAATAAATTAATCATACTTTAAATACCGCAATGTCTGATCGTTATTTTGAACGTTATTTATCGATGACGCTTTTCAGCGATAACACGTGTACGTAATAATGGAAACACTTACAAATACAAATACTTCGATCAGAAGTAATAATTAGCTCTTTCGGTTGGAATTTGATTAGTATAGTGCAGGAAATTAGTGATTATTTACTTTCATGAATATATTAGTATAAAAAGTGTACAATATTTGTTGTATTGGAACCTGATTCCCATTCAAGGAATTAACCCTAGAAACTTAAACCTTTTCTGATTACATAGGTAGTATTAAAGCTATATGTATAGTCATTCGTTGAAATGAGGAACGAATGTTTCAGGTTATTTTTATAAAACTTCATACACTCTGTGAACTACTGTTTTTATTGATCTATAAAAAACATGCATTGCAAAATGGAATAAAAAAGAGAATAAAGTATCTGAATTAATAAAGACTGTTGAAATTTATTCATTCGTTGAATTGCAATATCAGAAAATGAAAACAAAATCATTGTGACGGGATCATCGTATCGAAACTTAACTACAATATACAATGTACCTATACAGGGTTATACGTGAAACATGATCTTACTAAATATTTTTTGTAACTTATTAACAAAAAATACAGAAAATTATACAGCCATTACATCGACACCGCGTTCACTAACGTTCGTCAGCAGAAGCGTGGAATGACATACCTACAGTCCTGGAACGTCTTAAAAGATACGTTTGGTGTTTTACAGAAATAAGAAGAACACGATTCAGCTTGTATAGGTTAAACACCGACACACAGCGCGATAACCTGTCATTTGAACACTAATTCCACACTGGATCACAATGCAGAATGCAGATCTCGCCGCGTACTGGGGGGTCTGGGGGATCGGTTCACTGGATTGCGTTGACCTCCGCGCAAGTATACCAATGCAGAAAATCGAAGTGTTCCTATGTAATTTCAGGCTGTCGAACTATCTGTGGCGCGCAAGTTGACAGCGATTTAAATCACAGTTCGCCGAATCACTATTTTCTCGATAAAAAACGTGTATTGAAAATCAATTTCAATTCATAATAGTGGAATTCCTTATAATTTGGTAATATATAACTAAAGTACAGTCTAAACAACTTCTTACGTGGCTTTTATGGTTTAGCATAATTTTAAGTAGAACCTCGATAATACAAATTTCAAGTGAAAATGAGCAGAGTTTATTATATTCAATCAAACCATTAGAAACAATTACTATTCCTGTATATAAAAGTAGTATATGTATACAGGCTGTGCATTAAGAACATGGTGCGAAGTTAAACAATTTGAAAAACGTCGAGTACACAATTACTATAAACTGTTCAATTTCGTAACAATTAAAAAAATTTCCATGAAATCTTTAAATAATTACGAAACATTTGAAATAAAACATAAGGTATTACTAAAATAGAAAGTAAAGAATGTGGAAGTTAAATTGCAAGAACGAGTAGGTCTAACAAATTTTAAGATAGACATTCAGTAGACTGCGGATATACTTATGCAAATTCACAATATGATTATCTGATTTATGAAAACATCAGGAACTAAATAAAAGCCTGCTAAAAAGTAAGAAGAAAGATTGTTAAGCTTTACTGAAATTTTACTTACCTTCATGTGCTATAAATACATAACATCCGCAGTCTAAATAATGAGACATGCTAGAGACTATGTAGGCTGGACTAGGCGCTAAAGCTTAATACGTATAAAGTGTGTATGTATATAGAATAGATGACATACTCAAAAGTCGGTGATTCGGCACTACAGATATGTCCATTTTTCGTACCAGCGTGTGATGATCGGTGATTTCAATGCAAGGAAGGAGAAGGATAATTATCAGTAAATGATGCACCTGCCGGATAGCTGAGTCGGCGATCGTACGCGTATCAGTTTGACCCGTAAAGGCGGCGGACAAATTCGTTCGTAGCGCTGTGCGTAACCCGTCCGTCCGCTGTCGCCTGAACGCCATAATCCGAGGTAATATTCCGTGCTTGACGATTTTTGCGATTCTCCACGCGTCCGCGGTACACATCGTGTAACCAGACGATAACCGACACACAGCCCCGAGGCCCCCGCGGCCAAACAATTACGTTGCATCCTCTGTATTGCGTAAAATTAATCCGATTTAGGTGACCTCGACACGACATAACCTAACCAGCCAGCGTTCGTTAACGATTCCGGATGACCACCACGACGCGCGCCATCCCCGTGCTTGCTCGGTCCCATTAAAACGTGAACGTATGAAATTACGCCTTGGAGTACTTGGAATGCGTCAGGTAGTGCATGATCGTCGATGCACCGCCACTCGAACCTCATTCGATAGCCCAACCCATTTTTCACTCTGACACTTGGACCACTCCGTGAAACCATGTCGCTTTAAAGTCTACAATCTCTCCTTATTTCTTTATCGAATTCGATTGTGATTCTCACTGCGACAGATACTTGTTAATTCTGTTTCGTTTTAAGTACTTGCTTTCGTGTCTTGTTATTTAAATAATACAAACACACATAACCTTTACGACTGTTCAATATTGCATTCATTCGATTTTGTTGAAGACCTTTTTTTCTTAATAAGTAATACGTAGACTACGGATGTTGATACGAATTCCCATCTTCGTAAACTGTTTTACAAGAGATGAATCTAAAGAACAATTTATATTACCAAATAAAAGTTTATTGAGTTGAAAGTGAAATTGAACATTGTTATTGGCTTTTATACATTTCAATAAATACACAAAATCCGTAGTTTACATATAAGTTTCTTGTTGCTTTTGTATAGACGTTTTATTTAACTTTGATTCATATTGTCTTAAAGTTTAAAGTATACAAAATATATAATGCTACACTTATTCACAATATTTTTTGTAAAGTACCAAAATCATATTTAAATATTTTGTTGTTAAATTATATATTTCTTTCTTGTGTGTAATTGTTTTCTTTTCATATTACAATGAAAAATGTACATATAATTTTTTAATAAATTTCAGTTTTATATAAAACAGATTTGTGTTTTTATTTGATAAAATAGGTTTTGAATTTTTTTGCACATTACATTTTTTACTTTATTCACAAACACTTAAGAGCTGATATATATTCATGAATATATTGTTAACTTGTATACATAATATTCAAAGTTAAATGTTTTGTCAATAGAAGAATTTATAGCATATTTGTAATATAGTTTAACACCATTTTGTCTTACTTTTATATCTGTCATCTCTATATCATCTCTTTTGCGTTATATAATTGCATTAAATGTTAGATAACTGTTGTTTAAAAAATGTTCTAATGGCCATACATTAATTATTAAAAGCAATGGTGTGCTAAAACATCAAGCTTCCAAAGATTTGTGGCCTAAATATTTAGAAGAATCGGGGTAACTCAAGAAGATGAATAATCAGGCATTCAGTCTAGCAGAGAAGCTTATTCCCGCAATTTATGTACAACAAGGTTTAAATGCAAAGAAGGCACGTGAAAATCTTATAAGACACTTCATTGAACATGTAAGATTTTATTTGAATTCCATTATATAAATAATAGAGTATGCCAGTAATTAATCTCACTAAATACAAATTTTTTTAAATTAGCAAAAATGGCCAGAAGAGGGCTGGGATGATACAACAATAGAAGCATTCCTCTCAGATCTATCTCAAATGGATAGTAACAATTTTCCTTCAAACTGTAGTGTTGGAGAACGTGAAGCAAGAATTATTTCAAACATTGTTGCAAGACGACATTATCGAATGGGACATGGTATAGGTAGATCAAGTGATTTGGAAGAAGTACAACCAAAAGCTGCTGGAAGTAGTTTAATGTATAAATTAACAAATGCTTTGGTACTAGAAGTTATTCGATATATGGGTAAGATTGATAATTTCAAACTACTTACGACAGATTATACATGCATCAGTACATTACATTGCAAGACATTTTATTTCAGGTGTAAAGAGTATAGCAGGCTGTTTTTTATCGCCAATGGCTACTGGCATGAGCTTGGTATTATGTATGTTAACATTTAAACAAGACAGACCAAGGGCAAAGTATGTTTTATGGTCTAGAATTGATCAGAAGTCAAGCTTTAAGTCAATATATACAGCTGGATTAGAACCAATTGTTATTGAAACAAAAATAGTTGGTGATGAAGTCAAAACAGATATGCAAAGACTCGAATCTCAAATGGCAGCTTTAGGCGAAAGTGTTGCTTGTGTCCTTACGACGACCAGTTGCTTTGCACCTAGATCATGTGATTCTATTGATTCTATTGCAGCACTTTGTACTCAGTATAACATTCCCCATTTAGTGAACAATGCATATGGGTAAATATAGTTATACCTATTTACACTAACACTTCATTTTAAACGTAATATATTTAAACAAGTACTACACTGCATTCTTTTATTTAAAGCTTGCAGAGTACAAGGTGTATGCATCTTATACAAGAAGCATCACGGAAAGGCCGCGTCGATGCTTTTGTTCAAAGCACAGATAAGAATTTTTTGGTTCCCGTCGGCGGTGCAATCGTTGGTTCATTTGACAAAAAACTTTTAGATCGCATATCAAAAATGTATCCAGGTCGCGCGAGTGCTAGTTCTATTATGGATGTAATGATAACATTACTAAGTTTGGGAATGGCCGGTTACAAGCAGTTAATTACACAACGCAAAGAAATGTATTCATATTTAAAAGATGAACTTGGAAAATTAGCGGCACGATACGATGAGAGATTGCTAGACACGAAAGGAAACCCAATATCAATGGGAATGACTCTTCAATTTTTAAATCATCATAATGGTTTCCAACAAATTAATATGTTACGTTCAATATTATTCCTTCGAAATGTTAGTGGTACAAGAGTAATAACAGGTGCAGATAGTAAACTTGTTGTTTCACATAAGTTCGAAGGTTTGTATTACATTTGTGTGTTCATTTTTTTCGATAATTAAACATTTATAACATGTAATTGTATTTAGGTTGGGGAGCTCACAATAGTAATTACCCAGTACCATATTTAACTGCTGCCGCAGCTCTGGGGATGAAGAGATCGGATGTAGACGTATTTATACAACGACTAGATAAAGCTTTGACTAAAGTGAGGAGGCGTTCAGCTCCGGTCACACCAACAGCATCTCTTGCTGGATCTAGCATTAATGGAGATACAGGAGGTGCTGGTGGTCCTGGAGAATCTAGTACAGCTTCAACTAGCCGTGCAAGTAGTAAGGATAGTTTGAGAAAATGAACCGTAGTCAACGCAAGTGGCCAGTCGATCCAGTACATTAATTTGTAAGCGCATTATTACTTGCGATTAATATATGTTAGATACCTTTGAAGAATATCTTGTATTTATACTTTCTACATTCGGATCTACTGCATTTACGATACTTTTACTTAATGCTTTGATTAATCAAAAATTAAAATATTCTCCGATTAGTGCTGCAATCACGTTTGAGTCAACAATCAAGTCACTTGTTATTATTAATTTATTAAAAACCTACAATAAAAAGTACATTCTCCAGAGGTATGTGACATAAGAATGCGCTGATTCGCCTGTCCATTTGCGTTGTAACATTGACAATTCCCAGAAACTAAAGAAAGGGAGTTCCATGCAAATGATATTAATAACTGAATATCAAACGTAAATATGAAAAGAAAGAAGAATATTAGGGTATTCTATAGATGCATTTGATGATATTAATTTGTAAGCGCTGGCCGCAAAAATATCTGATACATTTATTCTATGTTATTACGTATATGCTGTTACGTTTCAACCGAAGTGTGTCGCCAGATCTTCAACTGTTTCGTTAATTTTTACTTCCATCTTACTTGACACGATATACAAGTAAATCAGGATAAAGTAATATTATTATTCTACAGTTTTTGAAAATCAACCTTTCTTTAGATATTGTTACTTATTCAATGTATTATTTGCTTTATCCGGAAAGCACTGTAAAATTATAAATAGGTTTAGGTTCGATTTTACTGACCATGCATTTTACAAAAAATTATTATTCCCTTGCATGATTTATTTATGCTGAACGTTCAAGAAGTGTAAAATCGAAAAATATTTGCATTTACTTAGGGATAATACAATTGTATCAATGGTCATAGTGAAAAGATATGTTATTACTTGTAAAGAGAGGTTTATAGTAGATAGATACAGTTGCATATTTGCTTAATCACATTGTTATAGAAAGTATGTACGAATATTAGAGGCACTATACATACCAAACAATATTTTCCAGGTCTGTATAAATTAAGTACTTGTAAAAACAAGTAGTAGTTTATTTGAACTAATTTGGTGTTACATTATTGCTTATATGATTTTTAAGCTATATTATTGTGATTTTTAAAATTATGTTCAATTATAAATTGTGCTGTACAATCTGTAATTACATGTATATTTTGTGCATTAATGGTGTATAAACTTCGTTATTACCAAACAATCAGAAGAATAGTCTGTTCAGTATTTATTAAGAAAGAATTAAATCCACAAAAACAATACAACAAGATTCTAAGAAATGTTATATTGCTAAATACAATCATTTTTAGGTGCGGCAGTACAAACTTTTCTGTACGCACAATGTTTTTGCTACTTCTGTACACATTCACTTTAATTTATCTACAGTATTTTGCTAATGTTCCTTCATTCAAAAATATACGTACATTTTAATGTTTGCTTGTATTATATTTCATGCAAATTTCCACAATATAACATTTGTTAACATGTATTTATATTAGCTCACAAAGAAAGCAATATAATGTACTAAAGTTATGTATAAATTATGTGTATTGTTACTTTAAATAGATAAAATCAGAACAGCAGAATTTCGTATTTAATAAGAGAAAGTTTGTGTTGTATACTTACTTTAAGAAAATAAATTTGTTGGTTTGTAATATGTTTCATGTAATTGAAGCAGAGATTTTCTGTTAACACTAATTCCTAAATTGGTGAAACGCTGCAGAATTATCATTCTAGGTGAATCACATGTGCTATTGTAGAACATATTATTATAATGTTATTTAAGAATCAAGGTAACATATAATGACTATAAAAAACATTCTAGACTAGTACATAATATTGTACTTTCTGCCAATGACATTCCTATGTATGTACATACTTTACATACTTATTTTCATATGAATGTTTGTTTTACACATTGGTGTATTTTATCTGTTTAGTTACTTATTTACATTACAACTTTACGCGATAAAGGAGAAACTAACATATAATTACATATATGTTATACACCTTTTACATGAAACAGTGATTTTTATGGTCCACTTTATTAATGTTGTTTAATTCTTTTTATATCTTGCAATACAAATTGATACAGTTCTACAGAACAAAGCATGTTTTAAACAAGGAACACATTATTTTTAAAATATTTCATGATATTGAATGAAGATATGACTACGTACAAGATGATAAAAATGGATTGAAAAAGGTCTACTTGTTATATTCTTAATTTCATTGCAATTAACATATACTACCGGCTGTGAACATGTTTTACTATTATATGTTGTATATTAAGAAATAATTATTCACAGTCTGATACTCAGTTATATTATTAAGAGAACGATTTTGTTGTTTAGTCATAATATTCAAAGAAGTCGTCTACATATTAACAATATTGTATATATGCAATTGTTTTAACAAAATTTTTAACAACATATGTATAAGATATTTAAGATACTAGACATAAGTAAAGCAAATTACAGACATACACAACACTCACTAATCTCATATTGTATTGTCTCGATCATAATACATTCTATTACCTAAATAAGTGACCATTTTACACATAATGTACTTGCTTAAAATTCAGATGGGAATTCTACTAAAGCAAAAAAAAGAAAAACAATTAGGAAAGGAAACGCATGTACAAAACATTCAATCAAGGTGAAATTATGGTTAATTTTTATCAAAGAACACTGATACTCATTATTGCCATTTGAAAATTTAAACAATGTGCTCACATAGTAGAATTATATATAATTACTAATCAAAGATTTACATACATAAGTATATAAATACATATGTAAACAGTATAATTATAAGCTCTTCCTCATTATAATTACTGTGTGATAGTAAATGCTTTATTTGTAATATATGCAACTATTGGATAAATAAAGATATAACTGTTAAACAGTGTTATAAGTTGCCTTATACATAATTGTAAACTTAATGGTAAATAAAATGCAGATGCTTATACAAATTCAAGTTTTAATGGATTAATTTACAAAATTATAAAGTATAAGTGACAATTTAGGTCTTCTATTAATTAATACATATATAATTACAACGTTAAATAATAGTAACAAAATTTTCCTTAAATTTCAACGAAGTTGTTTATATTGTATATAACTGACTTCTGCATATTCACATTTATGCTGGAACTGCATAAAATATAATTATTAGTATTTAATGGTTAATTGAGATAACAATTGAAGCTTGATAAAATATTATTTAAAGAAATTGTTATCTTTGAATCTTTTGTTACTTGCAAAGCATTAAGATTATTTAAAAGACAGTGCTGCTTTCTGGTATATATTTCAACCACTGTTATTGCTACAGTGCTACACGATAAAAAGCGGTAAAAGGAAATGATGTAACTTGTACACATTGCATATTTTCTTTCGCACTTTTTTTACGAGTATTTGTGTGTGTGATATATTTTGATTTTTATCAGGTACGTATTGAAATTATTATCACATATAACCTGCGAGAAATGAAAAATAAGAAGTTAGAAGCAAAACATTATTCGAAATTTGAATTGAGAACTCATTGTTACCTATTCAATCACTTTATACTGCTTTATACTTTGAACTTGAAGGTAATAATACGATGAAGCAAACGATATTTACGTTTATATAGATTCGTTTTTTTACAAGTTACAATGTTTACTATTTCTTCTTGACATTTTTATACATTCGTTAAATGTATAAATAATTTTACTCTTTATTTATGCATAAAGATATATGTTAATATTTTCTATAATTATTGGAAGATGCATTTTATGATTTGTTTTAGGGTATCTATATATAATGGCTAAGAATAAACTACAAGATAAATTTACAAAAGTTAAGAACAAAGTCCCAAATTCTACTAGTACTAAAAAGGAAAATAAATTTAAAATGTCAGTATTGAATACTGCAGTTACAGTCTTATGTATTGCCATTGCAACCTGGTTCAGTTACAAGGGATACTTGGAAACAAGAGTAAATACACCATATGATGTAGAAAAGGTACATTTTATTTGTCATTATTTTAGAACATTATAAGTTTGTTAAAGTAACCGACATAACATCCCCTTGTTTCTTTAAAAAAAGCTAGTTACAGCTTCAGGATTAGATGTTGCAGATAGATATTGGGGTACATATAGACCCGGTGTTTATTTTGGGTTGAAAACAAGAGATCCACATTCTTTAGTAACAGGATTGATGTGGTACTTTCCACACCTATTACGTCAAGATGGTAGTGGCTTTAGACATTGGTGCGAGCAAGGAGATAGATTAGATAGGTAAATAAGATTGTGCATGCAACAATGTGCTTTGTTTAAAGTATATGAAATGTTTATTGTTTAAATTTGACTTAGGTATGCATGGATGGAACATGATGGAAGAACTTTTGGTGTTCAAGAAATAGCAGATGGTTCAGCTATTTTAAATACTACGTTCGTCAAGAGATCTGGAGGAAAACATGGTGGTGAATGGACAGCAAGAATTGCTGTTACTTCTGAGAAACAAATACGGGATGGCGAAGAAATTTCATTACTTTTTTATACTGCCACTGAAGAACACACTAGAGGATGGATTAAAGCCAACCTTGGTGATGAAAAACATATAACAGGTGTAGAAGGAAATACTCAGGGCTTGGGTTCATTTACTATAAACATTAATGTTGTACAAGGTAGTATAGAGGAGCACTCGTTTCTAGCAACGGTTGCTCCTGGGTTAAGCCATTTAAAAGAAACTGTTCTTCAAAACCTTAGAATAGCATCTCACAAAGGATCAACAAAGAAACATATAGTTTTAGCTGGTGAACAAGTACCGTTATCGATAGATGGAAAAAAGAGAGATGCAAACTTTATTGTGTCACAAATAACAGGAAGAATTCCTTTCGCTATAGAAGTCAGTTATGAATCTGGTAGTTTTATAAATAGGGTTGATAAATTAACAGGTGAAAATTATGAGCGTGCTTTAGAAATGCAGCGTAAATTATTCGATGGGAAATTTGAAGAGACATTTAAATTAAGATTAAAGAGTTACACGGAAGAAGAGATTAAATTTGCAAAAATGGCACTGTCAAATATGGTAGGTTCTATAGGATATTTCTATGGAGCTTTACAAGTACAAAGCCAATATACTAAAGGACCTGTGCCTTACTGGAAAGCACCTTTGTACACTGCTGTACCTAGTAGAAGCTTTTTCCCACGAGGTTTTCTATGGGATGAAGGTTTCCATGGCTTACTGATATCAATCTGGGATTTAGAAATTGAACTAGATATTATAAATCACTGGTTCGATTTAATGAATATTGAAGGCTGGATTCCGAGAGAAATGATTTTAGGACAGGAAGCTCTGGCAAAAGTTCCAGAAGAATTTGTCACACAAGTCAATACAAATGCCAATCCACCTACATTCTTTTTAACTTTACGTTTCATTCTTGAACATAGTCGTAAAGAACTGTTGGAGAAACATTTTCGATTCCTTGATAAACTGTATCCTCGTCTTCAGACTTGGTTTAATTGGTTTAACACTACACAAACTGGGGATTTGCCAAGTACGTATAGGTGGCGAGGCAGAGACGGTGTTACGAATAGAGAATTGAATCCAAAGACGCTCACATCCGGATTAGATGATTACCCAAGGGCATCTCATCCAAATGTTGATGAACGACATGTCGATCTACGCTGCTGGATCGCATTTGCTGCTGATATTATGTATCAGATCAGTGATATTTTAAATCATCCTGATAACAAATATCAACAGACATCTCAATATTTAGCAGATAATAATTTATTAAATAAACTACATTGGTCGCCAAATACACAAACTTATGCAGATTTTGGATTGCATACAGATAAAGTATCTTTACGAAGACCGACTCCACCTCCAAGATCCCATACACAATCATCAGAAATGATACGGGTTGTTCTAGAAGATCCAACTTTAAAATATGTGGACTCGTCTTTTGGTTATGTTTCATTGTTCCCATATATCTTACAAATTATCGATCCTCAGTCTCCACAATTAGGTAAAGTACTGCAGGATTTAATGAATCCCAATCTTTTGTGGACTAAGTGTGGCTTGCGTTCACTCGCAAAGACATCACCATTGTATATGAAACATAATACTGAACATGATGCTCCTTACTGGAGAGGAGCTATTTGGATGTGTTTAAATTACTTAACAGTACGAGCAACTCATCACTATTCTAAAGTAGAAGGTCCGTATCAAGAGAAAGCGAAAAATATTTACCGGAATTTAAAACAAAATTTGATACAGAACATCATCAAACAATATAAAAAATCGGGATATGTGTGGGAAAATTATGGAGACGTTCATGGAGAAGGCAAAGGTAGTCATCCATTTACTGGTTGGACATCTCTGGTTGTTCTTATTATGGCAGAAATTTATTAATTTTAGTCTTTGTGTTGTGCATAATTACTTCCACATATATTACTTAAATAACGACTAAGTCAGAAGACTTTTTACATGTTCACATAAAATGTAAAAGGTAAAAACATGTGATAAATTCTAGAAATTATCACAATCACTTCTATGAAAGGATACACTTAAGATAATAGAAACATTTTGATAAAGTATAGGTGTATATGTTTTACAAAACAATGCAAATAGAGTTGCATTAGACTGCACAGAAGTATGTTTAAACACTCACTAATGTATTATGACTACCATGCAAAGTTTATTATGTGTGAAAACTATTTTCAGAATGATCCTGAGTAATAATATGTTTTTAAAGTAGTTAATAATTAATTTGTGCTTCTACACAATATAATTTGATTAAATAAATTTAAAGTACACTTTTTTTTATTGGAGTCAAACGAAATTTTCTATGTTTGCGTTATTTTAATGTTTTTAAATTGTATTCTTGCATTACAACGTTACGAAATATTTATATTATGTTGGTTTTAAAATGATAAATATATGCAAAAAAAGTGGGCCATAACTAAATTAATCAGAGGAAAAATGTTCTTCTAAGATAAATATTTGAGGTATTCACGGTCCAGCATCAGTTTTTCTATTTTATATAAAGTAGTTGAACACATAAAGAACTTTCACATCTTGGCTGTGACTCGTTAAAAAACAACTATGCTGTAATGTTAAGTAATCGTAAAATAAAAGCTTTTCAAGTATTTAGGGCGTCTTTCTTTAAATAAAAGCGTCGAATACAATTAATGCGTACTTACTCCTTTCTAATAAACATTTTATTCGGGTAAAATATGATTTCCTGATAATTAGAAATTTATAACTTTATTTAAAAAAGTTTTTTCAACATTTAATTATATAAATACTTACTTCGCAGAGGTTTATTTCAAATTCTATCGGTTTTGTTATTTAAGTTTAAATTTAAATCTCTACTATTGGCAACCCTGCCTGCGGCTAGTAAGAGCAAGTAATTTTGTTTCGTTTAGCTGTCAATAACTCCCTTCAGATCTTACCAGAGGATAGATCAGATAGGATAGGTGTGTAACCGAGGGGTTACACTTGCGAATCTTCAAAGTTCTCACATAAAATAGTACGTTTTTTAAATAATTATGGAGCCGTATGATGTGATAATTAATCAGCCTGTGGTTATCGATAACGTAAGTAACTCAGTAAATTGTCGTCTGACTTTTTGCATTCTTTGTATCGGTATGTCAAATTAAATCGTACCATAATGTCGGCTCCTAAGTAACGCCAGAAACTGCACTTTCCCCTCGAAATTACCAATCCCAAGCACCTTGCCTAATTTCTGAAATTAGATCTTTTATATTGTTCAAAAACAGTAGTTTCTTTCGCGAACGTCGTATCTGTCCGAAAATTTCGATGATTTTTCAGAAATGAACATTTTTATAATTTAAAATCGATAATGATTTGATTACGTGATCCTTTGCATTTTTTAGGGTTCCGGTGTAATCAAAGCAGGATTCGCGGGTGATCAAATACCAAAATGCAGATTTCCAAACTAGTAAGTGGATCATTTGATATGATCTAATTAGTATTCGTAATATGTAGTACTCACTTGGAGGTTATTGACAGGTGGTAAAGTAGCTTCAAATTTTCTTTTTTCCTCTTCATATAGTAGGTGACTCCAAAAAATTAGAGGTAGGTCAAATTCCAAAAGATTTTTCTTGGTGACCATGCAGAAGCTACCTACACAAAAATTTTCATTGTCTTAGATTCATTGTAATGCACAGTTAGTTTTTATTCTCAGTCACCTTGTATACATATATTTAAAGAAGATATCCTTTATTAGTAATGTATAAATTATTTAAGCTAATCATATTTTGTAGTATTGGCAGACCCAAGCATGTGCGTGTTATGGCTGGTGCTTTGGAAGGCGATCTGTTTGTGGGTCCAGTAGCAGAAGAGCACCGTGGCCTTTTATCTCTCCATTATCCAATGGAACATGGAGTTGTTACAGATTGGAATGACATGGAGAGAATCTGGTCTTATGTGTATGGTAAAGACCAGTTGGCTACATTTTGTGAAGAACATCCAGTTCTATTAACAGAAGCACCTCTTAATCCAAGAAAAAATCGTGAAAAGGCAGCAGAAATATTTTTTGACACATTCAATGTTCCAGCTTTATTTATTTCGATGCAAGCAGTACTTAGTCTGTAGGTATTTGATTTGTAAATTTAATACTCTTAGCACATTCGAGCAGATGTATTGTTACAGAAATGATACTGGAAATCTGCAATATTTATGTACTGTCTTATGTGACCCATATGCTGGGTCATTGGTCTCGAATGTGTTAAATAATATCATTCAAGAATGAGGAACATTTATGTCATTTAAATCTTCTAGATATGCCACAGGGCGAACAACAGGTGTTGTTTTAGATTCTGGTGATGGTGTTACACACGCAGTACCTATCTATGAAGGTTTTGCCATACCTCATAGTATTATGAGGGTAGATATAGCAGGACGTGATGTTACAAGACATCTTCGACTTCTTCTACGTAAAGAGGGTACTAATTTCAAAACAACAGCCGAATTTGAAATTGTTAGGACAATTAAAGAACGAGCATGCTACCTTGCCAGTAATCCTCAAAAAGAAGAAACAATTGAAACAGAGAAATTTCAATATGTGCTGCCTGATGGAAGTTACTTGAAGGTAATTATTTAAGTTGATTGCGAATTGACCTTACATTCTATCTACAAGTTACCAATAATAAAATTTGCTTTTATAACTTAGTTATTTAATAACATAATGCCTTTTAAACATGTTTGAAAACTATTGTGTATTGTGTGATATATACAGAGCATGATACCTGTTTAAAATAGATTGGTCGAGCTCAGTTTAGAGCACCTGAAGTACTGTTCAGACCAGATCTGATTGGTGAGGAATGTGAGGGACTTCATGAAGTATTAACATACTCCATACAAAAATCTGATTTAGATTTGAGGAAGGTCTTGTTCCAGAATATTGTCTTATCAGGAGGATCAACATTATTCCGCGTAAGTATAAAGTTAATGAAATGTTATTTGCGTCGATGTACAGATTGAATTACAAGAAGTAGAACATATAACACTTCTAGTGGATTTGGTTATTCAGAAGAAAATTCTGTTATTATTAGTGTAACTTGCATATAAAATCTAGATTAAACAACATCTCATATACCTGTTGCTTATTATATATTAGGGGTTCGGTGATAGATTGTTGTCTGAAATCCGTAAGACGGCACCAAAGGATGTAAAAATTAGGGTATGTATAACCGTTAATTAAAATCGAGTTTCTGATTTGAATAATTTTCCTTACTAATATTTCTATTATAACATGTAGATATCAGCGCCTCAAGAACGATTGTACAGCACTTGGATCGGTGGATCCATTCTAGCTTCCTTAGATACATTTAAAAAGATGTGGGTTAGTAAAAGAGAATACGAAGAATGTGGTACAAGAGCAATTCATCGTAAAACATTCTGAATTTAATTTAGAAAGATTCAAGATTTCAATGACAAATAAATTAAGTACAACACATAAGTAATGGCACACTCGGCACAACGATTGACATGTACCGTGTTAACAGTGCTCTTTGAATGCTTTCAATATCGCAATGTTTCTAAAAGTTTATTTCAAACTTTTTTTTCTTTTGAATGAAACTATACTCCAAGGGATCACAAAATACGCATACAGATACTCTTGTATTAAAGAATACGATACTGAAAAACCGTAATATGATTTCTTGTATATCATAGTGGTTTGAAAAATTTCAATATCCGAACATCTCTTCAATCACAATTATATATAGAATAAAATTTTTATTTCGTTTTCACCAAATATCTATTTCTTATGGTTACTTGGGAATGTACATAGAAAAAGATATCCAAAGTTGAATGCACTTAACTAAGCGAAACTAAATACTAAATCAGAGCTAGGCAACTGCTGTTCCAAGAACAGAATTCCCCCTTCCCGGTTATCTCCACTATGTTTCTCCGGTGACTCGCTCGTTTTGTGGCAGGAAAACTATTGGTGGGGGTGGGAACACTTGAGCGAACCACCGGAGGACCATTGTAGGGATAAACCGGGACGGGGAATTCTGCTCTCAGAGTTCAGTTGCAGTCAGTTACAGTTGCCCAGCTCAGTACTAAAATCCATAAATGTCAAATTCTTTATTTTTAAAATACCTACCAACTCCACAAGTTATATATGTATTTATGTTTTTTTATACTATTTATAGTTTTATTGTATTGAATATAATAGAGCAAACAGCTTTTATCGAAGTAAAACAATGAAATGCTTTGGTTAATCGATTTTATGTTATAAGAAAAAGATGATGTAATTTCTATCTACAGTAACGATTTTGCAAAGTATTTGTAAATATGTATGCTTTGGTAAAATAAATCTATAAACTCTTTACACGTATAAATGATTACGTCGATTTTTATAATCATACAATAACGATCGTATATGCATACTAAATAATTTCATATTTAATAAGTAGTTCACAAGACGTTAAATAGTAATTATTATAAATTTACTATTTAATACTAACTTGATCATAAAGGTATTAAGGGAATGTTGATGACATTCGCCTGCGTTTATGTCTTTGTTTAACTGTGATAAAATTATTAGGGCTATAGTTCTTATAATTGTAAACAGTTATAGATCTTATAATTGTACATGATCTTAATTGTCATATGCTTATATGAGTACGCTATTATAATTTGATGTCGTATATAAACATAATTTTATTAATTATGTAACTTTGAGACAGCAATTTTATTCGAGCGGTCTGAATTCTGTTAACAATCAGTATTGTATAATTAATATTGTGTAATACTTATCCTTTCCTTTTAATAACTGTATTCTAATTTATAATAAACAAATACTTTATTATTTATTATTCGTGTAAATTTTATTAGTCGAATGAGAAAAATAATGTATATGTACATACCTGTATATACGTTTAACAAAAACATCTAAATACCTACATCCTACAGACACTGTTTTTTGGCATAGTATGTATATGCTTGGAAGCTCACGAGCTCGGAACGTATTGTTATATGTAAGTACATATGTATATGTTTGAATATGGCGACGTCTATAGTGACGCATCGTTTATCAACAGTGAACCTGCGAAAACATTTTCAGCCAACTTTGCAAGACAGTCTTGAGTAAATATTGAGTCATATTGCTTTTTCGGTTTTTAATAACCATAGTCTGCAAATCTGGATGAAACTAGGGAGAAGATGATTGCCGCCTCAGAACCGGTGGTAAGTCCCCCTTTTTTTTGGTTAAAAAACATGAAAGCAACTTCTAGTGTGAATTATTTTTACAAATATTTAATGTTGCACGATTGTATTATTGGAAACTAAATTCTATACTTGCTGTTTGAAGGAGTATACTCCTGGTGGAAGACAAACAATTCTAAGGCATCCTGAACCTGTAATTAGTCAACAAACATTAAATAACCAAGCAATTGCAGCAGAAAGTATTTTGTTACAAAAATTTAGTCAAGTAAATATTTCAGATAGATCACTGGTAAGTTTACAATCTACCTAGTAGAACTGAATATAGCCTCGTAAACGTAGCTTTCTTAAGGCATGTTGCCTTATATATTATTTAAATTATGATTCTATTATTGATTATATGTACATATAAAATTGGAAGTGTTACTGTTTAGGAATTGAATATTTCTTCATGTATTTTAATGGTATTTATCATCAATACCCACCATGACAATCAATGTGTTAATTTGATAATTTTGTTAGATATAATCATTTGTATATGTCGTACGACACTGACACATCATTGTATGTACATATTTGTTTGTAGTGTTCTACAACATTATTATATCTATTCCATTTATAATATTTTTGATGTATCAATATTGGAGCATTTAACAAATTAAACTAATTAATTGCATAGAAAGAATTTTGGATTGTACGCGAGAATGATACATGTGGAGAAGAAGAATTATATTGCTCAGGCAAAGTTGCGATTCATTCAAAAGGTAGTCAAAATACCCGGGTACTACAAACAGCTTACACATGTGAAACAGATATTAAACATGCACTCTGGTGTACATTTCATACCAGTACACCTAATCATTTATCAAAAGGGAAAGAAAAAGAAGATGAAGAAAGTAATGACAAAGCAATAGAATGTATATGTTTAATTGATTCCTATACTCTTAAAGTGTTCACTGAAACTGGTGAAGATTATGTATCCAGTTTGCAATTTCAGGTAAAAGTTTAATAATAGGACAAATAAAGTATTTCTATCAAAGATGAATTTCGAATTACAATGTAATTTAGGTGTCTGCTGTTTGGTCTACAAAATATGGAATTCTATTGGAAAAGTCACAGATCCCTGCATCAGAAACAAGGTTTGCTATTTGTCTGATAAAAATACCATAAGTTTTAAGAAATAATATACATTGGTTATGTTGTGTTTAATATTTACAGGTATACATCATTAGATGGAAATAGATTACAGTTGCATAATCACACAAATTTACCAGTGGCGTTCTCTTTAATGCATCCTTTAGATGAAATTTGCCCTGTACTTATTAAACATGGTACTGATCTACTCTTTATACATTCTTTTATAGGATCTAAAATCGATTGTAAGCCGTTTACTTATAATATTTACAGGTAGCATATCATACATGTATGATTCAAATCAACAAATTGTATTTACTAATTCTGAACCATCTTTGGCTGTCATATACGACACAAAGACTGGATTGCATTCCGTATATAAAATACGTAAGGCTTTGGCAGAAGAATGTCAGCTAATTGGTGGAAGTAGTGACACTACATCTAGTATATTCAATCAGTCGGCAAGTGCATCACCATTGAATTTTGGAAGTAATAACCTTTCGTATAACAAAAGTTGTACAAATAAAGGACACTTGAGTATTTTCGGTAAATCACTGCTACTGTTTTGTAAACATACTTTTTTAAACAATTGTCAAATTTACAAATACTGGTATTAGTAATGAATGATTACAATTTAGGAGTACCAAATCCACAATTAAGTACTATGGGGCTAGGAATAACAAATAGTCCATTTGGTTCCCGAACATCTTATACTACCTCTTGTTCAGGAGGACCATCACCCTCGCAGCAACAACAGCAGCATTCAAGATCCCAAAGTCCTATGGCAACTATTTCGCGCTGTCAATCTCCCACTCATTCTGCTTTTTCACCTTTACTCGGTGTACCGGCCAGTTCAGTCATTCATCATACCAGATTACATCACACAGTTATGGCCACTGCATTAAGCCACACACAAAACAGTCCTGTCGGCAGTTGTAGCAATATACAACTGCAAGATGTTGCTACGCCAAGTAGACCTTTATGTCCTGAAATTTGTCTCGATCATGTGTGGACTGAAAATGTTGGAATACCAAAGTAAGTCGTCTATTTACCTGAATTATAAATCTCCCAAAATCCTACCTTTAAATGCCCCATTACAGATTTCCTTTGTGTTTTCAATTCCTTTGGGTTTTAACTAGAAAGTAAGTGAAAAAATCATAATTTAGAAAGTCATAATATCAACATTAATTGTATTATTTTTTCTTTTTAAGGGAAGTTGCGTCTGGTCGGGCATCTAAAGTTTTTTTATCGTCGGATCTTGTTGGGCAAAGTTATTTATGTTATTTAGTTCCACAGCGATCTCAATTGTTTTTAGTGAGGCTTGCGAAAACTAACAAGCAACAGCAAATAATTTTTGGTATGGTAACAAGTATAGTAGCAAAGGATGCCGTTAGTATACCAGTTAGTATGCATTTATATCTTTTTCTTTATAGCATTTGACTATTATTATAAGGATAAAGTAAGTTGCTTCTCTTTATAGAATTTACATATGATAGCTACGATGGACTTATCGAATGGAGTAGTGTTATATTCGGGTGTGACTTGTGTGGGAAAATTGCACGTTACAGGAATTCTTCCAACCTTAGCTGGATGCAATTACTTTTTATCTACTATTAATTCCAAACTAAGTTCTCCATTTCCACGACGAAGTTCATTGATTTCTCAAAATTGTGCCGTTACGCATGATCTCAAATTTGAGGAAGGATTACACTTACTAAGTCCGGTGGGAGGAAACTGTGCGAGACCGCCCATTTTGTTAGAAAATTCCTTAGTAGATTCTAATATTCTTATCTTAAAAGAAGCAGTAGGAAATAAAGTGACCTTAGAATGCGGCCATAAGAATTATTTCCGAGTAACATTACCAACATCTAGCACCTCTCCTTTAGGTAAGGACAGATTTATATTATGCGTATAATATGTACAGTCTAAACATTAGTTACATCATCGTATTAATGATTTTACATTTTTTTCTACAGTTACTAAATGCTTCCAAACATTAAGAAGCGTCTTACAAAAAGATATAGCGATGCAGTTATTAGTGAAATGGTATGGAGCTCGAAATGCTCCTGGACCTGTTTACGTTATTGGGCTATGAAGTAGAAAAATTACAGTTAATCCAAAGAAATGATAATGATCAACTCGCTGAACGCAACAGTCCAATGGTGGTGCCAAAAAAACAAAAAACAAACAACTCGGGGTCGACTGATGATTGGATGTACATGATAAATACCATTAAGAACAAACATTCTCAAGTTTTCATTTCAAACGTACTTGGTCTTCAAAAAACGTCGAACACGTACCTTAGGGAAAATAAATATACATTTTATATTATTTCCATATTTTCCGATAGTTCTGTTTTCATTGCATCTTTTATACGAGGAATTGAAATTAAATTGCGTTATGTCGGAAAGTTTACCTTTACTCGCACAGTTGTTGTATCAGTTAAGCACGGACTTGAAATTTGAGATGTTCTCTCATCATTATTTTCTCGATTTCCCCTGTCTTTGCCACCTGCGGGATATACCGTCCCAGTTCAGTGAGTCAGACCTGCTGAAGATTACTGTGCCGAATTATATAATGCCAAAACCACCAAGTATATTTGAAACATTGGATAGCTTGTTAAATAAAAAGGAAGTGGTGCCGTTCCCTTACATAGGTCAAGTAAATCCGAAAACAAGAAATATAGTTTACTTAACAGCACTCATAGTGAATAAGAATGAAGTGAACATGCCGGAAATTGATACATTTGTGAGGCATATAATACCAGCTGGTAGTCGGATTGACTTTCAAGAGAACGGAAATAAATATGAAAAGGACATATTCAAGAATGTCGAATACTCCACAATAGATAGGATAGTGTTGTTATACCATGAAATGGGTAAGTCTGTTATATTCCGAGTATTATTAATTTTGCATCGACATTTTATTCTAACTAAAGTACTTTTCTTCAGGTATGACCAAGAAAGATCTTGAAATTTTACCTCCCGGTGTGTCATTACTCTTGAAGGATGCGATGTATAGGTGTCGAAAACGACCTCCATCAAATTGGCCAATGCAAGCATACGAATTAGTGGATCGTCAAGATTTAGCTGCGTTAGGCAAATATTTCGAGTCATCCGCAACAAATCAACAAACAGAAATGGAAGGAAAAAATTATTCGATCAAAGATCCGGAACAGGACGATGGCATGGAATTTGATGATGCGGTACGTTTAAAAAATATTTATATTCGACGTTCTATCTTATTTGTCACACGCATTGTATAATTTCTTTCATAGGTATTGAAGTTACGATTTAACAAAGACCATAGGGTAGCAGAAGTTCGAAAACTTCTGAATTCTTCCAAACCGGTAAGAATAGCGATAGTACAGAGACCAGATGTAAGCGATCATGAGTTTATAGAAGAACAGGAGAAACATTTGCACGCACTGTGTACAAGAACAATGGCACTTCCGGTAGCAAGAGGCATGTTCACATTGAGAACGTCCACCCCTATTATTACAGAGCAGTTACCGATTCCTCGGCTGTGCTTAACTGGTATGAAATACAAGAAATTACCACGTTAAAGACCAAAAAAAGGATAATATTACAAAAACTACTATTTTTTTCTATAGGAAAAGCACCTCCTCGTGGAACGACCGTAGAGTTGGCTCATATCGACGTTCCTCCAAATATGAATTTATGGCCACTATTCCATAACGGAGTGGCTGCTGGACTTCGCATTCATCCAAACGCGTCGAATATTGATTCAACGTGGATAGTATATAATAAACAGCAACAAGGAGAATTTGGCATAGAACATTCAGGATTTCTAATGGCTCTCGGTTTGAATGGGCACCTTAAAAATTTAGCACCTTTCAGTATGTACGAATATTTAGTTGAATGCCACGAGGCCACCAGTGTTGGCCTGTTACTGGGATTATCGGCGACGCATTGTGGTACAATGAACGTCTCTATGACTAAATTATTATCACTTCATGTGGAAACATTATTACCACCAACGAGTATTGAGTTAAATGTTCAACACAATGTTCAAGTTGCTGCTTTGATGGGAGTTGGTCTAGTGTATCAGGGTACTGCTCACAGACACATTTCGCATGCTTTATTATCAGAAATTGGTAAATATTATTAGCTCAAGTTGCAAATATCAATGTTACTACATCTGAAATTATAGGCTCTGCCTAAAGTCGAATTTATTTGTGGAAAATTGTGAAAAGTAAACATAGCAACAATTACGCATTAGAGTATTCAAGAGTGATAGAAGTGATTTATACTTTCCATGCGGTATTACTGATCGATTAACAAAGTATCTAAACATAGTTTGATAAATTCCAGGTAGGCCACCAGGACCGGAAATAAAAAACTGTGTGGATAGAGAATCTTATTCTTTAGCAGCAGGTCTGGCATTAGGTTTGGTAGTCCTTGGAAGTGGAGGTGGACCAGACTTAGCTAATATACCTGATACTTTACATTACTATATGGTAGGTGGACACATTAGACCATTCACTGGGTCACAAAAGGACAAATACAAATCACCTAGGTAAACATACTAAAGGTTACAGAAATTACATTATTCCGTATTCATTCTAAGCTTTTATATCTTATGATTCCAGTTATCAAATTCGAGAAGGTGATTCTATAAACATTGATGTAACTAGTCCTGGAGCAACAATAGCTCTAGGCCTTATGTATTTCAATACCGGAAATCGTGCGGTAGCAGAATGGATGCAGGCACCTGATACCCAATATTTATTAGATTTTATACGACCTGATTTTTTGTTACTACGAATATTAGCAAAGTCCCTCATTCTTTGGAATGAAATCGAACCAACGAAGTCTTGGGTGTCTAGTCACGTACCCAATATTGTTTATAAATACAGATTACAGAAACCAACCTCTGAAATAGCGCAAAATGTAGATTTGGAAACCATGAAGTTAGTATATAAATTCTGTATAAATATTTACGTCTCTTTTAAGTTTCATTTCATTCTAACTAATGTTAATTGATATACAGTCAAGCTTACTGCAATATTATTGCGGGAGCCTGCATGGCCCTAGGTTTAAAATACGCAGGCACTGCTAACAAAAATGCCTTTAAAACTTTATATAACTATGCTCAGATGTTCACGGCCTTGTCCCATAAAACGATTGCCGAATTAGCAGGAAAGTCAACGATTGAAACATGTTTGAACGTTACGTTACTTTCTGCCGCTGTTGTAATGGCGGGATCGGGTAATTTAGAGGTGGGATCAATGTGTAACGATTTCTTAACTTTGTCTAATTTCATCTAATTTCATCTACTCTCAGTTGAATTATTCATTTTATAATATTATAGATCATGAGAATATGTCGACATGTGAGAACACGAGTGGGACCTGCAAGTAGCGTCGTTACATATGGTTCTCATTTAGCAACACATATGACCCTCGGTATTTTATTTCTTGGCGGAGGAAAGTATACTCTTTCCAACAACCCTAGTGCAGTAGCTGCTCTCGTAATTTCTCTTTTTCCAAAATTTCCAACTCATAGTAACGATAATAGGTTCGTATTAGCTGTACCAAATTCACTATTTGCCGTGATGTCTTGCTGATTCATTTGATGGATTATAGGTATCATTTACAAGCATTAAGGCATCTGTACGTGTTGGCCGCAGAACCGCGTGTTATTTTACCTAGAGACATTGATAGTCGTCAGTATTGCTACAGTACTGTACACTTAACATTTGAACATGAGAAGGAAGCTGAAGGACAAGACTTGGTACTCCAAGCACCTTGTTTATTGCCACAACTGTCCAGTCTTAAAAAGATTGAATTGAAAGATGAACGATATTGGGAAATTGTTTTTGAAAAAGGTCACAATTGGCAACACCTTGAAAATATTCTTAAAAAATGTGAATACTTAGACGTTAAACAGAGAGCTGGTTGTTTACCATATGTAGAAGATCCCCACGTAAATAACGTTAACATTTTTTTACTTTAATGATCATATAAGTGTAGTAAAAATTAATGTTATTATTAAATGTTACAGGGATTCAGAAGTTTAATTGCTCAAACATTAACAACGGAAAACCTGATTGCTTGGGCTGCTCGTCCTGAATGCGTAACTTCATTTACAAATAACAGAACTGTCTTGAATATAGTAAAATACTTTTTACAGTGGCCTAAAAAAGACAAGACTAACATTGAAAATAACTTAAATACACAGTCTTACGGTAGTATAGCTAAAAGTAGTTCTGGATATCTAACTCAGAGCTTGAGTGATACATCTGAAAGGATAAGTGGTAGTTGGAATGAACAATCAGATTTTTCTAGTGAGAAAATGGAAATTGCAGAGCTGTCATCTGGTTTAAAATATTCGAGTTATTCTTGTAAATTTGAAGGACAGCATGTTGACATGACAGAATTTGAAAAGCATTTTCTACACACTTTCGCTATAATTGTTTACGAATGCGTGATAAAGGATAAAGTAACCCTTCTTCCTTTATGGGTGAACTTGATGAAAAGTATCGAGATCATAGAGAAAGAGCCAAATAGTTTCTCTGTATGGCAAATAAAACTTGTTTCATCGCAAGTATTAAAGAGGCCTTACACAGAAAATAAAACACCATTGCTTAGCGCAGAAAGTGTAAAAGCAATTGAACAAAAAATTGCATTTATCATGGATAGTTGGGAGCATGGTATTTATCATACCATTTTCTTTTTATAATTTTTCTGACTCTAATCTAATATTATTCGGTACTTTAATTTTATAGATCTAAAGCGGCACATTAAGTCTTACTTGACTACAGGAGAAATTCAAGAAGATCCGACGTCGTTGCAAAGAATGTGTTCATACTTCATATTTTATGATATACCTCATAGAATGGATGATAGGACAGTCTGTAAGTTTACTTTATTTATTAAACACACTTTCTCTGTCTACTTATACTTATGTATTACTATTATGGTGTTTTTAGTGGCATCGTTGCTGAATCCGGAATTAAGATCTAAAATACCTAATATTAAATTATACAACTTGTATGAAATTTTAAAATCCTGTTAATCATGTTATGTGTTGACTCTAAACAATGTTTATGTGAAATAATGAAAAATACTTTTTCAGCTGAATTATATTTCTACTTTACAAGTGAGAAAGCTTCTCGAGAATGTAGACTGACTTTGATCAATCTGTTTCATCATGTACAAATTACAATAATGCATATGTGTATATATACAATACAATAGTGTTCAAGTATAAATAAGGCAATAGTTAATATTTATAGAAATTTAATTTATTATTTTATATAACATATATTGTTTGCAGTATAAAATAATTAAGAATGTAGTTTCATATCCTCTTTTATGTACATGTATATACAAGTATCCTTAGAAAAAATTTCACACCATTATATTGACTTAATTACATATTCAAGAGTCCAGCAAATTTGTTAATATGTACTTCCGTTTTTTTGTATTCAATTTATAATAAACTAAGTACTGAAGTTGTTTATAGGCTTCTTCAATTTTTTGGCATAGTGTAATATAATGTACGTACTGAGCACTGTGTTCTATTATCGCAATGGTGCCCAATTTTTTTCTTTACAGCTTGAGCCCCTGCCCGTGACGCAAATCCGCGTCAACGAGGCGCTAATGTGTTAGTTTGATAATAAATAAGAATATTTTAACATTTGTTAAATAACAACATCTTCAGTGTTTTCCCTTCTTAGAATATTACGTGAGAAATGAATTGCGTCTTCTGTAAAATTGTTCTTCATGTATAATGGGAGTACCAGTCAAAGTGTATACTATATTATCAATCATTACACCAATGAATGTATAACAGTACGAGCAACCCACTAAAATACCCCCAAGATGTCCAATAAGTGAAGATTGTGGTACCAAAAGATGAATTAAAATTAGTTCCACCCAAACAGCAATCTTACTAGGAACTCTAAAACCACCAACATCATGAATTCGATCCTGTTCTTCGCAAATTACAATTACTTTCAATGCGAATAAAACAGCAGAGAATCCGATAGCACATTGAGTATAATATGAATAATCCCCAGTTAATTGCGTCAAAGCATAGGCTAAGAATGCATACATGGCACTACATCCAAGTGTAAGAATACCCAATAAAAAAGTGAAGTTCATTGTTCCATACATAGGTTCTAAGTATGAGCCTTTTAAAATCAAAGATACCATATTGTAATACAAATGCATATCAGAACCATGCTCAAAACTTGATACTACAAAAGATTTCCAATTATGATGCTTAAATACTTTTAATGCAGATATGCATACTTCTTCCGCGTTCCAAGGAACTTTTAGCACACCAATATACAGAAGAACCTTGTAAAAGAAAGATTTGTTTTTTACATTGATTTATGATTCAATAATAATGTCAGTAAATTTGAAATACAGTTACTCACTTGACCAATGATTGCAGCCAAAGTGGCTGGTGGAATTTTATCAATGCCAAAATTTAATGCTTGCATACATAACAAATAAATGCCATATTGAAAGCCCTGTTGTCTTCTCTGTACAGGTCTCATGATAGTTATACAAATTCAACAATAGAATACTTTCTGTTAAACTTAAACTTCACTTGTACCTCTGTACCCTGCACCCTACCTCACGTGAACGTTCGAAATCAGCTTATTTCATGCTGCACTTAAAATTTAGAGGTTAGATTACTCAATAAAAGTCGAATATGATAGATATTTCACTATAAAGAACGTACATTGAACGCAAAATAGGCTTTACATTCATAAATTATTAATTAATAACGCTATCATACTTCTTCATTTGAAGTAAACGCATATTTCTAAGAATCAAACATACTGCCCCTTTTGACAAACGTAACAAACATACTCCACCAATCCCGTGAAACCACATGAAAAATTTATACAATATGACGTATCACTTTTTATATAAAGTGACGTCACACGATTAAGCGATGAACTCGTATTTAAATACATATATATACCTAGAATACTCTGACAAAACTCCCATGAGAGACGACAGACAAACTAATTCACGCACAATGTATTTTACATACAGGCATACTTACCATAAAATATATATACCACAGTACCATCTTTCGTCAGTGACACAAACATTCATACTGAGCAACACTGAGCATATACCCCATATGACCCCATATACATGCCACTGCCAGTATTTACCTGCTAGCGATCGGAAAAACCCTTTGTTATTCTGATCCACGACGCGCATTGACCGGGAAGACCTACACACCGTCAGTTGTGTATATATATATATAGCATTTTTTTTCTATGCCTATTTTGACTACAATTGGGCCACCGTTGAAGAATATTCGGAGAAACTATTAGTTTATATTTCTTATGGCGTAGAAGACTAATCTTCCAGTTATACACATCCTAATGTAATAAAGTCTAAATATTTTTATTTATAAAATAAATATACAAATTGCATAAAACGTTGAAAGATTACTTTCACGTATTACGTTATAAAATTAATAAATAGCAAGGGGTAATGTTTGGAAATTATATAACATATATGTATATGTATAAATGTGTGTAAATATATACAAATATATATGATATACGGTTACATGACTTACGGTATACGCTATATATGTATATATATTTTCACAATTGTTAGATAGTTGCTTTTTACAAAATGAGTGTCTATAGTTCTATTCAGGCACGGTGGTTCTGATAACTCGGTTCCTAGTTACATAGTTCTGCAGGATCAAATGAAACTGCTCGATCTCGAATTCTATGGAGCGAAATGATTCCGTGCGAATCCTAGGTAGGGCAACTGTGCAGCAGCTACCATCGTGTCTGATCAGGGCCAAAGACGGGTAACGAAACAAGAGTTGTTAATAAATAGATAGTAAATGGGGTAAGTAGAAAAGAATTTCGAGAAGTCAGCTTGAGAAACCAGGATTAGTGTGCTCTATAATGCACCTACGGCAATAACGCTTTACCGCCCGGTATCCGACCCATGTGACCCTAGGGCATTCGCCGATGTTCAGTTGCCTTAATCCTCGTACGTAGTAGGCCAGCGCTTCCAATCCAGCATCCGAGACTCGTTCGCAGCCACACAAGGATAATTTCTTGAGATTCGGACAGCCAGTGGAGAGGGCCTCAAGAGATGCATCGCCGATATCGCATTTCCCTATGTCTAAAGCTCTCAATCGTGGACATCCACGCGCCAAAGCTAACGTAGCGCAATCGCTAAGTGCTTCACAGCCACGAGCATTTAAGTACCTCAATTTGTAACAATGCCTGGCCACAACCAGAAGACCAATATCCGACACACGATCGCATTTTCCCACCGAAAAATAACGGAGTGACGGGCCGAGCCGCGCTGCCAATTCTCGCACACCGAAATCTGTAATTTTTAGGCAGTCAGAGACGGACAATTGTCTCAGACTGATACAGTAAGAAGAGATTGCTACGAGGCTGTCGTCAGTTATACGAACGCATCGCCGTAAGTACAAGCAACCAAGATGCGGCATGCGACAAAGCGTGCATATCAAGCCAGAATCTTCTACACCGTGACAGTCACTGAGATCGAGTGATTGCAATTGTAACGTTATATGACTGTATGCTTTAGTTACACTGACACATCCTGTAAGGTCAAATTCCTTCAAGTGTATACAATTATCTAAGATAGCAGTGACATTCGTGTCTGTGACGCGTCTAGAATGTCGAAGAACTAAGGAAGTTAAACTTAAAAACGGTAGCTGCGCGAATATTCCAGTCAGGCCAACAGCACCTTCCAGTACAAGACGACGAATGCACGTGTGACATCCTCGTCTGGTCAACGCGTTCAACGCGATAGTTGCGTTTTGGGGATATCGTACTTCGACTTCTTTCCAGAGAGATGGATGCCATGCTATTTCCCAAAGCCGTCTGCAGGTTTGGGCAACAGCACAAAGGTCTCTGGTACCTAGCCAATTGAATATTCTCAATAACAATGTATCATCCAGTTGGCATAGATCAGCCACATAGGTACATTTCTGTTGCAACAAGGTTTGTTGTCTGATAGGAATAGGTACAGCAGCAGATGAAGATGTTGATCGACAAGCGTTGTTGTCTAAAGTATGATATCCCAAGTCAATTGTATCAGAGTTTGGTCTGTATAGGCCCACTTTCTGAGATGAATATACAGTCTCCCTCTCAGAGCTGCTCTTTTCTCCAAAGGATGGAAGGAGTAATGGACACGATCCATCCATTCCATGCTCTGTTCTAAATTGTAAAAAATGATTATTTCTGATTTCAATCAATATACCTTATTAACTGCACTTATGTTATCAAATAACATTTCTGCTTTTTTATTTCAGCTCTAAGAAAGAGGTACACAAAAAATGAAAATTATTTTAGAAAAACAGCTCCAACTAAGGGGCTTAAATTTCGCGGGCATAGAAATAATCAATTGATTGATTTTCTTAATAAGTTAAAAAAATAATATAGTGCTTTGTATAACATGTATTTTTATAAACGTTTACTTACTAATGTGCGACGAACAGAAGAATTATCAACAATACATGACATTGCAAAGCAATATCGATCTATCTGCCACTGCCACCATTTTGATCTTACATTCCAGTTCTTGCAGCAGCTGAAAATCACAGCTGTTTCTTCTGTATGAATTAGAACATATTATCGTTATTGAATCTATTAAACAATATGCATTTTGCAAATGCAGTTGATTGTATACACGAAGAGAAAGACTAAAGTGAAAGTATCAAAATTTGATACACGATATAAGGCTCCAATACAGTCGATAAATCCCCACTTTTCAAATGAGTCCCTTTTAAGCCACTCTTTACGTTTCAGAGAGGCGCTATCTAGGATATAATACTCAAGCTATTGACTAGTTAGTTCGCGGTTCTTGACGCTAGATAGCCATATTTTCTCTGCATGTACTTACCCGTCGGTATGGTTTTTCTACCAGTTTCGCCATTTCGTCACGGATGACGCCATCAGTCAAATGAGCTAATTTCAGAGCACGTGAATCTTGCCATTATTTACACAATATTGTATGTATGTATATATATGTGTAAAATGCCGAACATTATTTAAACATACATTAATTGGATACTTCAAATGTGATTAAACCGTTTAATGAATAGATTTTGAATTCAACGCATCAACAAGTTGCCGCTTTTCTTTTTGCGATTTTTTTATCTTGAGTGAATTTGCTCACTGCAATCGTAAGTCATTAATCTTTAAACAGAAAAACGTATTCAATATGATTTTACGATGGATTACATTACTGTGTTTGTAAAAATCAGTAGAAGAAACAAGAAATTCTAAAAGAATGATTTGTTAGGTAACATGAAGATTATAATTTATAATCATTAATTTATTCATTATTCTTCATTGTTTCTAATTATTCTTTCACTTTATACGATATAACTCGAATGTTTGTTTTGATGTCGTTAATAAAAATATAAAATATACAGATTATGTGTCGCGTGTAAAGAACTGTAGGTTTCTCCACCAATCAGAAATGATCATGAGAAATCACGAATCACTGTGAAAAATTACCGTGATTGAGAACGAACGTGATCGAATCACGAGTGATTCACAAGTAGCAGTTCACATCATCTCTAGTGAGAACGTGAGGTCACGGAGCCCCCGGTGGAGGCGCCATAGACCCTGCACGGTGAGAGCGTGGGGTCACGGAGGCCCTGATGGAGGCGCCATTGATCACGTGGTGTGAGAGCGTGGGGTCGCGGAGCCCCCGGTGGAGGCGCCATAGATCCTGCACGGAGGCCCCGGTGGAGGCGCCTTTGATCACGTGGGCTGAGAATGTGGGGTAACGGAGCCCCCGAAACATGCTGAGAGACTCCGTGTATGTGACAAAGTGGGGCCATAGAATCCCCGGAGCATGCGCAAGAGACCCCGTGTATATGGATGTACGTACACATTTATTTATCATCTACAACTTACATTACGTATATCGTATATAGTTTATACATACGTTTATGTTTATATGTTTTATATTTTATATTAAATATTTAAATAAATATATAACGTATAGTATTATATTTTATTCTCTCTCAACGCAGAAACAACTGTTGTGTTGTGTGTCAAGGTTAGGAAAATATAATTCGATACAAGTAGGTATCGATACCTTCATACAGAAGTAGTTATGAATAAAAGTATCAATACCTTGGTGGTATCGATTCAAGCCTAATTCCACGGTCCCTTGCCATCTCGTTTGACTTGCCAAAAGCGAAATCGCAAAACTAATAGAAAATATAGAGCTACACAGAACGCAAAGAACATGCTTCCATAACAATAATAATCGTTGATCAAGAAACCTATGGACAAACCTTCTATCTAGAGCTTATTAATAACGTTTCTAACAGTTTCTAATACCAACCAAGAAAAACTGGGGGATTCAATTGTGATTCTCAGCCATCTAGTGGTAAACTAATTGGTAGTATCTCAGTATATTCGATATCTCATCTAGAAAATTCTAATCTGTGGATCATCTACTAAACGGATTCCGTTACCATCCGTTACTGAAGTCTCTGCCACTCTTTTTCCACAACGCGGAGGCGAGAGTCGTGCCTTTGAAGGTGTCGTAACTAGTAGTTTAAACTAATATAATTATTTCACAGAAATAAGTTACTCTTTAATGTTGTGCGCAGGTGAAGTGACAGAAAAAAGAAACATGTGGCCCTCAATATTGGACGTAGTCAAAACTAATCCATTCGGTGCACCTTTCGTGACAGCGAAATGTCAGGGGCAAAACGAGCTCTTACGGCCGTTGGTTAAAAATCGCAACATTGCGATGGCATCCGCTAATACTGGCGGTTAGTACTTTACAAATAATTCTTTTACTAAACAAAGTATGTGACAAACTTTGGTCTACAATTTATTATGAATTAACTATTCCAGCTTAACTGTACATGTCAGAAGTATCGTTTCTCATTGACACCTGCTTATTAAAGACAAATGTAGTTGGATAAATCAATAGAATTTCAGCAAAGTTTCAGTCAGATGAATGTTGTTACATAATCTAAGATATCATTCGCCCATTACCATTCGTAACGCCACAAGTTAAAATTTTTTAAATTTCTTATGGGATCAGAAAATTGATAATGTTTGCTTTAGAGGATCGTCGATTGTTAGATCACGATTTTGTCAAATTTTCTCATAATAAAATTATGTAACAAAGAAATAGATTTCATCGTATGGCATACAGTTACAAATTTATATGTATATATATACATATATATTTCGATTTATGTTTCTCTCAACATTTTTGTAATCGTTTTGTAGTACGTTATTTTAATTCTTAACGAAGACTTTTTATGAATGAGCAGAAGTCAGATTGCGACAGTGTTCTGTGTTCGATTCAGCGAAAAATTTTTTGATATTCAAGTATTCGCCGATCGAAGGGTTGCATAAGGGCAGCCATTTTGTTGAAAATAACGCGTTTGAATGTCGTCCGCGTAGCCTTGGTTGACATTCGATTAAAAATAATAGCGCATGGGTACGGTGGCCGCGACCAAGAAACCAATTAAAGATATCCTTGTGTACTTGAAAGGTTTATTATTGGATTAGAGCAAGGTGGTACGGTCATTCGTGCAGATCTTGATCCTCTGCCAGAATCGCATTCCGCACGTTGCTTCCAATGAACAGCTGATTGAATGAACCTGTGAATGCCATTTTTTTTACTTCTTCATTTCCACTTTATTTAATCAGCTACTAAAAAAGCCATTTGTTTGCATTTTTGTGCATATCACGTAAGAAATAATGTTAAAGAGTCTGACATTTGAAGAATGTTTGAGAACTTTTGTCATTCATAATGTATTTATATACATATACGTATAGCCACATAAAACTTGACACAATTGAATATTAAGCATTTTATAAACAATATTGTACTAAAATTATACATTTATTTACCTTTTTTATAGAGAAGCTTATTTTTTTTTTAAATATTATGATATATATATATATATAGTATATTTAGAATCATCTAAACAGCCATCCGTTTAGTTGATGACTCAGCATGTGAGTCACACACGTAAACAGTACAGACTGTTATGTAATAAGACGTAAGAAAGAATAGAGCAGATGGTACAATAGAAATGTTTTCCTTTTTTTTTTTCAATATATAGATAGCTGTGAGTTTGGATCAAATAAATATTTTCTGCTATGTGGTCTGGGAGGAATCTTGTCATGCGGTATTACTCATACCATGGTCACTCCTTTGGATTTGGTAAAATGCAGAATTCAAGTCGATCCAGAAAAGTACAAGTCTGTCTTCAAAGGATTCAAAGTAAGCAATACATTATTTTTAATGATAATGTCTTACTGCATACAAGTAAGAGAAAGAAATATTTTCATTTTTGTGTGTTTCTATTTAGGTGACATTGGCTGAAGATGGTGCTCGAGGTCTAGTAAGGGGATGGGCTCCAACATTCTTCGGTTATTCCATTCAAGGAATGTTCAAATTTGGTCTTTATGAAGTCTTCAAAGTACATTATTCAAATCTTGCTGGAGAGGAAAATGCTTATAATTATAGGACAACTTTATATCTAGTTTCTTCAGCATCTGCAGAATTCTTTGCTGACATTGGTTTAGCTCCATTCGAAGCTGCCAAAGTAACTATTGATTATTTTTTCCGTTTATACGTTTTTAAAAAGAGAGAACAGTTAGATCGATACTGTCCCTGTTACGATTTAAAAAACTTAACAGATACTACTCTTGTACTATCTGTGCATTCCTGTGACTACTCCTACATCCAAAACAAGACAGAATTGTTCTTTTGTTCCTCCACAATGTTCCTACTGATCCTCATCTTTGCCTCGTCATGTCCAATATCATACATATTGTAAGTTTCTACAAATAACTATTAATTTGGTTATTATCAAGTATACGATAATCTACATAATTTCTATTACATGGAGAATGACATTTTACTTGCACAGGTCAGGATTCAAACTATGCCAGGATTTGCAAATACTTTGAGAGAAGCACTCCCCAAGATATATGGCGATGAAGGCCTAGGAGGCTTTTACAAAGGGCTGGTACCTTTATGGCTTCGTCAAATTCCATACACAATGATGAAGTTCGCTTGCTTTGAGCGTACACTTGAGCTTTTGTACATGTATGTGGTTCCTAAACCGAGACAAGATTGCACAAAAGGTGAACAGTTGGTTGTTACCTTCGCGGCAGGTTATATCGCCGGTGTGTTCTGTGCGATTGTCTCGCATCCTGCTGACTCTGTGAGTATATTTTTTGTGAATGTGTAAATTAACTTTTGACAATGCTTTATGAATACGACATTCTTATGAATTCTGTTAATGCAGGTTGTATCGAAATTGAACCAAGAGAAGGGAGCATCGGCAATCAATGTTATGAAAAAACTTGGTTTCGGTGGTTTATGGAAGGGTCTTGGACCTAGGATTGTCATGATCGGTACATTGACTGGAGCACAGTGGTTCGTATACGATGCTGTGAAAGTATGGCTCCGTATGCCACGCCCGCCACCACCAGAGATGCCGGAGTCGCTCAAGAAGAAGCTTGGATTAGCTTAACTGCCACAGAATATGGATATTTTTAATTGAATTGAGCAACAGTTGTCGTTAGAAAGAAACACACACATAGCTAAATTACATAACTTCCTCATCAGTGCATTGTCGAACAATGTTTTTGCCATACAATTCGAATATTTATTCTGTAATACAGATGACAGCGCAGGTGCACTGTCTCGAAACTAGAAGTATTAATGTGCTACTAACGTAATTCATAATGAATTATCATCAACTGTGTGATTGTAAAGATAGTAGCACGTTTAACAAATAAAAAAAAGCAGAAATTCAATTGTAACAGTGAGTTACCTATTGTAACCAGAAACTGTTACTTTGTACATAGAGTGATCACTGTAAATAAATGATTTGTGATTGCTCGATTAACTCTGGTTCTTTTCTTTCTACATACCATTAACCAACAATATACAACAATTGTTGATTTCCATCATGCTTTATTAAAATCTTTGGAAGATAGTTCATGTATTGAATAATTTGCATACAATCTTTATACAAGTATGAATATATAAAAAAAAAATAATGCATCAGTAGTATCACAAGTCAGTGAGTTATATTTGCTACTGTACATACAAATATACTGCGTGTACTAAGTAGATGCTGTGTTAAGGATATATGCCTCCTGGCAGTATACACTTATTTAAGTATGAGTTTATGAGTGGAAAAAATCACTTTCGGACACTGGTTACATGTATTATACAGTACCTACTTATTGAAATTATGGTTACTAAATTAAGTCTACTTTTTTTATATCTGTCAAATTTGTCTTTTACCATTTACTTCGATCGAGAATGGTAGAATATATCATTTTAACGTGTTTCATCCTACTTCGTACAATTATTGTCATTTTGATGTAAGTATACATATAACATTTGAATAGCATTTGATAAAAACTGAATGAACAAGGTAGAAATCGTAAGAAATACACACATGTTCGTAAACAGTTCACCTTCCATTACTTTCATATTTACTTCTACTTCTTTGTATAATTTAAGAAAAAATAGCAATTCCCTATACTTCAATTGTTTAGAAATATAAAGTCTTCATTGTATATCTTCGTTACAAATTCAAAATTTGCATTAACACTAAACGCATACCGATGTTATAAAATTCCTAACAATATCACATAAACAGAAACAATTGTGAAAACACAAAAATACATTCAGACACACGTTTGCATTGTCGATAAAATAAGTACAACTGTGTGTGCGTGCGTGCGTGCGTGCGTGCGTGCGTGCGTGCGTGCGTGCGTGCGTGCGTGCGTGTGTGTGTGTGTGTACATTATCTCATGTGAAGTTCTTTTTCTAAGTATATTTTCGCGTCATGTATCGTCGGGAAAATCTTAAATGTGAGTTTACTGTGCAAATACAGATCACATTTTTCTATCGTTTCAAAAATGGGACTTGTACAATGTGCAAGGTAAAAGTGAACACCAATTTCATCGAACGCTGTTATAATCGAGTGCAATGTGAATACGCCGCTAGAGTCGATATAACTTAAGGCGCTCATGTCCATAATTACACAACGTAATTCCTCTTTGTCTTCTGAATAATGTGTATCCATGTAAATGCCCTTCTCTCTTAGTTTCTGTTTATGATCCATGACTTTGTGCGGATTCACTCCAATTATTCTGTACAATTCTGACTTAAAATAATTAGAATTTGCAAAGTTTAGAGTACCAGAATACTGAAAAATTTTCAATTCAGGAATTTCCACAGCCTAAAAATTATGTAAAAATATATATTAAAAGTGCAATATTACCCTTACTCACTAATTATGAAGAGTGACATACCGCCTTGTATCTACTCAAATCCAAATACAAATCCGTATTTGGTATATGCCCGAGTAAACAAGTGTAAGGTCTAATAGTTTGCAATAGAATAATTCCAAGTGACATTATAATCCCAAGAAGTAAACCAACGTCAATATTTACTATTACAACCATCAAGAATGTAACAATCCAAATTAGTGCATCGTATTTATTTAATTTCCAAAATTTTTTCACCTGAGTGGCCTGCTGAAACATTCCTTTCAAAGCTACCTAAAAAAGAAGACAGGTCTGAGTAGACTTTCTTCGTATAGTAACTTACAACAATATTCTTATACTTACTACAATGATCGACGCTAGAACGCATCTTGGTAAGGGTTCAAAAAACGGACCAATCCACAAAAGAATAGTCAATAATATCAAGCAAGAGACAACACTAGCTATTTGTGTTCGACCACCAACAGTTTGTTGAATTAACGATCTACTTAAAGACGCTGACACTGGCATACATGAGAAGAACGATCCAAAGACATTACTTAAGCCCTATAATTGTATTTTGAAGTTATATGTAACAGCTTAAATAGACATATTTTCAAAGGCAGAGTATATTAAAAATTATTTTCTTACCATTGCAAGAAGTTCTTGATTTGAATTAATTTTATAATTAAGTTTTTGCGCGAATATCAGAGCCATTGATATAGTTATAGTGTATGACACCATAGTTATAGCAATGCTATCCAATGCTACAAGATGTAATAATTCAATTGTTGGTATCTCAGGTGCTGGAAGTCTGTCACATCATTAACTTTATAAAATAACAATCATATTGTCATAAAAGATATTAAATAAAATAATTACATACCCTGTTGGGATATCACCCACGTCTTGAATATTATATGTTTCAGATAAGCAAAAATATCTTGAAATTAAAGTTCCGCTTACAACTGCGATCAGTTCAATTGGTATTGGAATGCTACACTTCTTACTTGCCCATGGCTAATATTAAAACAGTTATAGGACAGTTATTCGCGTATATTTATAATGAAAAGATTACAATATTCACCTTTAAAAGTTCGTTGTTACAGATAAGCCCAATGATTGTTATTAACGATATAAACAAAGCAGCTAAATTTGTATTCTGTATCTCCTTAAAAATACTTATCAATGTCTGAAATTAAATTTTTTATTAATATATTATTGGTGAAACAATTTATTCAAAACGAATTCCTATCGATTCTGTTTACTTACAAAAATAAGTTTGAAGTATCCTTTCTGTTTTGGAATCTTTATACCTAACAGGTCTTTAATTTGGGATATTAAAACATAAACAGCTGCACCAGTTGTGAAACTGTTAATTAAAGGCTCGCTAAGTAACGTACTTATAATGCCTAAATGAAATATGTACATTACAATCTGAAAGAGAACAGAACATAGTTAGTAATTGACACTAAACACAGGAAAAGTTTATAGAAATATTACCTGATATATCCCAACCATCAATGTGACAGCTGTTGCTACTTGCATGGGTGTAAATGTATATGAATCTTCCCCAGGATGGTTGAGCATTAAACCCGTACCGTTTGTACTCATGTCATTATGTGGTTTTGTGTAAGTCATCACTGTTTTCCCAGTCATCAAGCAAACCACAGCAAAAGTTCCTGATGAGTGCCAATAATGTTTCATTGTTCTAGCTTGTCTAATAAGTTCTTATTAAAAGGAACTATGTGTAACTCTTCTGTAATAGAAGTAGTATTTTACTGAATGTACAAGAAACCAAGGTGTGAAACGTTAGAAAAGTTGATGCTGGCACTTTTTCCAAGACAATGAAAATCTTTTCTAGTTACTGATTTGTTAGAAAAATTTTAGCAGAAATATTTTCCATACCCATTGACACGTGTCTAGATGTACCAAAAAAGAAATATACTAAAACAGGAAAGAATGCCATATATATTCCCACTACTGGTGGTACATTTCCCAGCAATGCATAAGCCATGCCCTGAGGAATATGCATAATTGCTACAGTCAAACCAGAAATTATGTCAGATGTTATGGTTTTTTTCCATTGATACTCCCTCAACCAATTTACTGAAGGAATTGCAGATGTCAAGCATGTTCTCCAGCTTTTAGACCTCAAAATATTCATGGCATTTTCTGCAACTATAAGAATCAATGTTAATTTTAAGATAATAATAGGGTATATGTATCTTTAAAAAATGTTATTTCTTTATGCACCAGACATATGAGGCTTTTCATAATGATAATCTTTATTTAATGCTTCCTGTTCATAAATAGGTCTCTCTAAATGTATTTGTAACCATGCATCATGCTTTTCCATGTTGATAACAGTTAATAAAAAGTCATAAACTTTGTCCAGAGAGAAGTACTATTTAAGAATCTGATTAATTTACTGCTGGTTATCTGTAACAGATAATTATTTTTAGTATACAGTATTGTATTTCGAATTACATAAATTTACAGGTAAAAATATTACACATAATACAATACTATCTAAACATATGATATTTAAATAACTACAAATAAATACAAAATTTTTAAGATTAACATTTTTGTTTTGCTCAAAATAAGCATGTGTTATGTAATACACGGAAATATATATTACATTTGTTTCAGCATATATTTTATAAATCGTTAATGCAATTTACTGTATCAAGTCATTATAAAATATATTCTGCTATGATGTATTATTATTTTTATTCAAAGTCAAGAGTATTTGACACAGTTACTCGTGAAAATAAATTGAATTAATTAACCTTAAAGTATTTCTTGAAGTATATTTTTTGTCAACAACTTTGTTCAGTTCTAAACATATTTATCACCTCTTCTTCATCGACGTATCTTTTTTACGACAACTTCTTTTTATTACTAAAATACAAAAAAATTCTTATCATTAAATTACGAAAAAGAGTTTTCAAATGAACTTCTGCTTTAGATGATATATAAGAGTCACGCGTTTTCATTTCATTGTGAAATACTGACCACAAGCTTCATAAATTGTGACGGATATATATATATATATATACTCGCGCACACACGTGACGTAACGTATATCAATAAGAAATCTTATTTACATTTGTCATGTGACATAAATATATGCTGCAAAAACGAAGTATGTACATTAGAGACAACTGGTAAGCAATAGTACACAAGTATATATGTATACACACATACTCATTAGGGCTACACTAGCGCAAGCAACATTATGGTTTAGTAAGAATAATATTTATTTACATGATAATATTCCATTCTTACTCGGTTTACATTTAAGCGGGTAAATAATTCAACAAAATGATGTTTCGAAACGTTCAATATTTTTATACATTTTTATACAAATTCAAATAAATGTATACATTCATTTGTGAAAGTATTAGATTTAATACTTATTGAGATCTTTGTACCAAAACTCGACTTATATACTCTCTTCTTTACAAAATCTTTTGTACTTACCTGTAATATTAATTTTAATTACACAAGAATTACAATAAAATATGTATATATTAGAGCATTGCTAGTAATAGTTTGTATCTACACCTTAGATTCCTTATATACAATCAAAATAAATTATGTATTTATACATACATACCTTATTTTAAATAGACATTTACGTTCTTGCTTTTTTTTGTAAACATACTTATGAATTTTTATAAAGATATGTAGGTGGACGTTTTATAGATATTACACTGTTTATATACTTATTGTATTAAATGCACATCTATTATCGCCATAGTAATAAAATTATACAGAGATGTCGCTACGCCACTCACAATACTCATCATTTGTCCTACTCTTCGTGCGCAGTACTTATACATGTCTGTTCATTCACTTTTCTTTCGTTTTAAAATATATAGTCTCATCACGGTGATTATTCCAATAATACAATGATCATTAGAAAATACGAATCAAGCTGCTTCGTCGTTACTACCGCTGAGCAGACGCGCATGCTGGTAATTGCGTTTTGTACTATATCCACCCGAGTGTTGAGTTTCATACATTTTTCGATTTTCCAGATAACGTCTGTAATTATTTTCTCGTTTCTTTCGTTGTTCCTCCGCCTGTTGTCTTAATTTCTCCGGGTTCATGTGTGTTGTTACCATATGTCTCGTCAATGAGCTCATAAACTTATACGTGATGCCACAAACATCACATGAGAGTACTTCCTCGTTAGCCCCTTGCTGCAGTTCATAATTATAATAATATAAATACATATATACATACATATATATGTATATACATATATACATGCATATATATGTATATATATATACACCCGTCCCTCGATTTACGCGGAGTGTTCATTCCATTTAGTTCTTTCTTAAATAAATATTTTGATAACTTATACTGCCTTTTCTCTTGAGAATTTTTTTTTGTACAGGCAGACTCCATTTAGACGGTTTTTATTCGCATAAAGAAGAACCACATGGAGCGAACGCTCCGCGTAAATCGAGGGTCGGGTGTGTGTGTGTGTGTATATATGTATATATATATATATAGACTTATATTAAATTGACTAATACACAAAAAAGTATTTTAAAATGGATAATTCTTTTTCTAGAAATATACATATACAATACTTTTGGTATGAGTTTTAGTCATTTTACGTGATGCGTACAAATTGCAGAAAATATGAGAAACGACGACTAGTATGAACCTCTCTCTTGTACTGAGACTCGCGAACAATGTAATGTCTAAGATCATATTGATCATACGTACTTGTTGATGTACCATCATATGTCTCTGCAAATTGTTCAATCGGTTGAACTCTCGACCACAAACCTCACAGTCAAATTTCTTATCAGGATCGTGATACTTTTTATGGAGACTCAGATCAGTTGCATGTAAGAATGACTTATGACATACGTCGCATGTGTGGGTCCGCTGATCACCAGCTAAATGCAACTTCTCGTGTTTGACCAGACTGGCTTTCTCTGCGAAACGGCGACCACAGTAAATGCACGGAAGAGGTCGAGACTGTGAATTATGGAGCGTCAAGTGACGACGCAGAGCGGTTGACGTAGGGAAGTTTTTATGACACTCGAGGCATTGAAACGGTCGGTCACCAGTATGAGTCTTTCTGTGCCGAGCCAACGAATTTTGATCTGGATACCTAGCAGATGGAAGGATGGTAAATTATTTTCAAGCTACTAGACTATCAGTGCCAAACGGAACAGTTCCGAAAAATCACCTTTTAGGGCATAAGTCGCATGGGAAATTTCTCGTTGTAATATCTTCTTCACGAGCATGTTTCAATCTATTGTGTCGAAGTAATTGAAACGATGTCTTAAAACTTTTGTTACAAATATCACATTTTAGGTTATCTGTTGTAGGTATAATGACTTGAGTTCGTTTCTGACCATGCTCATCTTCAGATATTATCAATGATATTGTCACTGTATTATCCTCGTTGTCAAGGTCAGTAGCAGAAACCATAGAAGTCTGAAAAAAAAAAATAAATAAAAATGAAAACAGTACATAGGAGGACAGGAAAATTCTGTATGAATACAGATCCTTCAGATATGCTTAAAAATACCTGTTTGTTGCTCTGAGAGGATTTAACTTCAGTATCTGGAACAGAATCAGATTCCTCTTCTATTTGTCTGACACTCAGTTCAGATTTAACTTGTGGCTCTTTGTCCTCATGATCATCGCTACTTTCTGCAATGGCATAATGACCATCTTCAGTTAAATATACCGGTTGCAAAATTCCACTATCGTCCTTAAAATATAGTTGTCCGTCTTCGTCTTCATGTAAAAATATTTGGTCCTGAAAATACATTCAGAGGTTCATTGTATTTAATAGTCAAGTGAGAGGAGAATATAAATTTTTTATTCTGAAAAACAATACTTGAGAATTTTCTTTCTCTTGATTTTGATTGGTGTCCGAGTTACTCCCTTCCCATACTTGTTCATCTTGTTCTAATGGTGCAGCATCATACGTATACTGTTCACTATCATCTACAGCCTGAGCAACATATAAAGTTTCTATGTTATCTCCTTCATAATAAATTGTTCCTTCGACTGGTATGGTATTCTCATCAAGCTGTTCCATCTACAAAAAGAATATTGTCTTAACAAGTGATATTAACAGCTACTAATATAATACCTATTAATACATAAACTGTACACACCTTAATATAATGAGCATCTGTGAGTTTTTCTGTATGTAACGGTTTTACAGATGTTTGTCTCTTTGTACCAAGGACTGTATACAACAAATTATTTTCAACATTTTTTACAATCTCATGACTTATATTATTATCAACATTTTCCTCGTTATTTATATTATTTTTATAGTCTTGAGATAATTTAGATTTCTCTAATCTATCTATAGATTCCATATTATCCCTAGATTCTGGTCTACTAATTTGTAAAGGAGAACTAAGTGTTTGATTATTTACAGATCTTCTTTCTTCATGTAGAATTCTTTGCTCTTCTAATGATTCTGTGGAATGATTTTTCCACCTCCGCCTCCTCCTCCTCTTCCATATCTTCATCCTGCCAATCTTCGTCTACATCATATGTTATAACTTGCTTATTATTACTTTTATAGTATACCTCTTCCTTTTCTCTGCTATCTTTTATAATATCCATTTCTTCAACTGTATCACTTGCTTCATATGCATAAACTTCCATTTCTGAAGTTCCATCGAGTTGCTCACTTTGCACTCTTT